CGTTCCCTCAGGACCTTCCGGACGACTCTCGGGATCAATGGCAGAGGAGGGAATGCATAAAGCAGGCCTGAGGGCCACCGACAACGAAGAGCGTTGTGACCTTCCACTCCCTCTCAGGGAAACCGGGAGAAGAACCTGGGGAGCTGCGTGTTTTGAGGCGTGGCGAAAAGATCCACCAGGGGTGTCCCGAACCTCTGAATTATGTCCTGAAATGTCCCTGGGTAAAGGGGCCACTCCACCGGATCGAACTGTTCTCCGCTGAGCCAGTCCGCCTGAACGTTGACTTCTCTGGAAATGTGATCTGTCCGAATCGACCTTGTGTGGCATTCTGCCCAAGACAATAGTTTCTCGGCCTCCATCATCAAGGGTTTGGATCGAGTCCCCCCTTCTCGATTCACATGGGCCTTCGTTGTTATGTTGTCCGTGAGTAGTAGGACATGTTGACCTTCCAAGAGGGGACGAAACTGTTGAAGGGCCAGACGCGCCGCTCTCAGCTCCAACCAATTGATGTTGTGCATCTTCTCCTCCGGAGACCAAAGACCTTGGACAACCTCGTTCAGTAGGTGAGCATCCCACCCTTGTAGGCTCGTGTCTGATGTTACAATGAGCCGGTCTGGTTCCAGAAAGGTGCACCCCTTCAACAACGCTGGCGAAAGCCACCATAGGAGCGATGCTTGAACTTGAGCTGGGAGAAACACAGGCGTCGTGGATGTGCCTCTCCCCGACTTCTGGAACTGCAGAAGAAACCATTGCAGCTGACGGGAGTGTCTGCGTGCCCAAGGAACGATGGCTATGCACGACACCATCTTCCCCAGAAGTTGGGAAAGCAGCAGGGGGGACACCGCTCTGGGTGATCTCACCTGAGACACCAGACTCCTGAGGCTGTGGATCCGTTCTGGCGAAAGAAACACCTGACCCTTGTTGGAGTCTATGATCGCCCCCAGGTGAAGAATGCGATTGGTGAGTGAGAGATGACTTTTCTGCAAGTTGATGGTGAAGCCCTGCTGTTGGAACACAGTGATTACAGCTGTTATGTTGCGAGTCGCCTGTTGTGGAGAAGAAGAAAGCACAAGAATGTCGTCGAGATAACACAGGATTCGTATTGGTATCAGGCGGAGCTGTGCTGCGACTACTGCCACTAATTTGGTAAATGTTCTTGGAGCAGAAGATAGACCGAAGGGCATCGCGCAGTATTGGAAATGATGGCCATTGTACTTGAAACGCAGGAACCTGCGATGTGCTGGATGGATGGGCACATGTAGATAGGCCTCTTTGAGATCCACCGACTGCAGAAAGTCACCCTGTCTTATGCATGCCAGAATTGACTTCAAGGACTGCATCTTGAACCTTCGATAAAGTATGAATTGGTTTAGAAATTTCAAGTTCAAAATGCCCCTGACGCCTTCCGAGGACTTGGGCACCAGAAACACTGTGGAATAAAAGCCCGTCCCTTCCTGGGACGCGGGAACTGGTTCGATGGCATTGATGGAGACGAGATGATGGATTTCTGCCTCCATCAGTTGTCTTCTTGCGGGAAGCGGTGACACCTGACAACGAATGAAATGGCTTGGAGGGGTGGAGAGAAATTCTAGACAGAGACCGAAGGTTACCGTGCGAAGGATCCATTGCTCGCACGTGGAGGACTCCCATTGATGATGAAAACCTTGGAGACGACCACCAATGGGAGCCAACGGCCTTGAGCCACTTGCCTCGTCTGTACGGTCTGTATCCGGATCCCCGGAAAGGGCGTTTAGATTGGACATGCGGCCGGCCTCTGTCCTGAAAGGACTGTCTGTCCGAGGGATGATCCAATCCTTGAGAATAAGGTCTTTGTTGATAGGACATCCCTGATCCAGTGAACGGACGAAAGGATTGTCGCTGCCCATATGGCGCATACCTGCGCTCATGCCTTCTGTAGGATGCCGGAAGGATCTCGCGTTTATCCTTGTCCTCTACTAGCAATGGCTCTAGTGCTGCTCCAAACAACTTTGAGGCTGTGTAGGGCGCCGACGCCAGCTTCCATTTGGTCTTAGCATCGGCTCTCCAATTACGTAACCAAAACATCCTACGAGAAGTCACTACTGATGTCAAAGTGCGTGAGGCAAACTTAGCAGCATTCAGAGAAGCGTCTGCTGAATATTCCACAGCCGCCACCAGTTTGTTGACATCATGATGTAGTCTGATGTCATCAGGAGGCAATCTCTCTTGTAATTGGCGCAACCAGAGTAAGGAAGCTCTAGTGAAGAAGGAGGTGGAAGTGGCTGCTTTGACCGCCCAGGCAGCCGCCTGGTGCGTCTTCCTGAAAGCCAACTCTGCCTTCTGATCCTCTGCTTTAAGTCCATCCACAATGTCAGTTGTAATGACAGACGATGAGGTGAGAGATGCAACTGGGGCGTCAACCGAGGGCAAGGCCAGAATGTTCTCCAATTCGGGAGCCGAACAATAAAGTTTCTTGTCAAGGGCACTGCGAGCGGTCAAAGAGCCGGGTTGAGCCCAACCACTTTGTACAACTTCAGCAAACAAGGGTGGACAAGGGATAACATCCTTGTCCGGTTTGGACACCTGAAACAAGGGATCATGTAGAGAAGACTCCCTGGAGGTGTCAGCAGAAGGAGCAGAGGACAAGCCAAACTTTGTGGTCACCTTGGCCTTGTGAAGGAGAGATCGGAAAACAGACCGTCTGAAGAGGCCTGTGAAAACTGGCTGCTCAGGAACGAAGTCCTCATCTTCTGACAATTCCATCTCCTCAGGAATATCTTCCTCCACCTCAGACTCATCGCTGGAATCATAGCCATGATGCGCAGATGTAGAAGGTCTTTCAGACAAATGACCCTTCCGCCCAGGAAGTGGCACGGGTTGTAGGCCAGTTTGCCCGCCTTGCTGCAGGCCTGTGGACAGAATCCTTGCCAAGACATCTGACAACATAGCCTGAACATTAAGTTGTGGCTCAGTCACAGCAGAAGGCCCCGCAGAAACAGTTAGAGGAGGTTCAGTATGAGAAGCAGCAGATTCCGCTTCCACCTCAGGATCAGCTTCCTGAGCTTGATGGACCAAAACAGGGACTTCAATGGTAGCAGGTCTGGTCACTTCTTGTTGACTAACACAAGTTTCTTGGGCCACTCCAGACATCTCTGGAGGAAGATGATGAGGCAAATTCCCAAAGACTGGAAGAGAAGAGACTACAGGATCAGGAGAGATTTCAGAAGGAGATCTCACTTGAGAAGATTGTCTAGCCCTGTTATATTGGCGTTCTAAGGCATTGTGCCTCCTAAGAGCATATCTATCCTTAGCAGGAGCCTTTCTTTGAGAAGATTTGCGAGACTTGGTCCCTTTACTCCTGTCTTTGGCTTTAGAGCCCCTGGGGGGGGGATGCTGGTAAATCTCTGGGTGGACTGCATTCCTCTTCCAATTCAGAAGAAATGCCAGGATCAGCCATGCCAGCAGAACAATTGCAATTCTGTAAAATAGTGAGGCAAAATAATCATTAATATATATAAGGCCCAAAGACCAGACAATAACCCAGGGATCCTAGCCTATCCCCTAATAGGCTTAAGAACAAGATAAGTCACAAGCTGGCAAGGCTTAATATAATGTCCAGAAACAGACTCCAGTCCCACAAACAGCCCCAGGAGCCAGGGTGAAATGCAATAAATTATTAATTCTATTTTTGGCAGTGACAATATGGCGGCCGCCACGAGGGCAAAACAAAATGGCGCCCACCACTAACTCCAAACAAAATGGCGGCCGCCACGAGGGAGAGTCAAAATGGCGGCCGCCAATAATTGCAGTCAAAATGGCTCTCTATGGGCGCTCCCGTAATGAAACGGCACTCCCCAAATCAATATTTCTTCAATCCGGTCCCCTCAGGGAACACCGGTCCTCAATTAACAACTTCTGGCTTGCTGCCGCTTCGTAGCGTGCAAGCCGCCCAAACCGCTCCAAAATGGCGGCCACCATCCTTCCGTACCTCAGAGTATGCCTGGAGCCTAGGCATGGACTCCGGAGCCGCTCTGAAGGTTTCTTTAACGAAACCCAGCTGGGACTGAGGCGGGAGCGGATGAACCAGCTCACCAGTTGCCCAGCAGCACTGCCTGCGGCAAATTGCATGCACGTAGCAGCCCAACAGGGCTGACTCCGAATGGCTGCTGAATTAAAGGAATTCAAGAAAAATTCAAAGGTCTGGGACACAGAAACTCCAAACCTGTAAGCAGCAGTTGCAAATTGTCCAATACAAGAATAATACAGTCCCAGCATAACTAGAAATGAATTATTAAATCAACTTAAATTAAAAGAACTTAATTAAATTAAATCAATAAATTAATTAATCAAGTGAATTAAATTAACTTAAATAAATTAAATAAATAAATTAAATTAAATTAAACCGAAATTAATGCAATAACTCACGAAGTAGAACACAAAGAAAACCAAAACACCAGTGTACTCAGCTACTGAGTGAAAAAGACTGAAATAATCAGCATAAAAGGGGGCGGAGACCAGAGCAGAAATTTGAATAATTAACACCCAGTGGTCAGCTACGTATAAGTGAAAATCCCAGCCATGGAATGTAGGAAGCAGCGCACTGGAAAAATGATGAATTCCCATTGAGTGTTTGTTACTTTCAACATGGGATTTCAACATGGGATCCTCCCTTTGATGTGGTTTCTTAGCAGTTATTCTTGCTGTTATAAAAATTATTTGTTTTGTTTTAAAATATATTTTTATTTTATTTCACTTACCACTGACAAGGTATTTGTGAAAAGCCCTCGGAATAACAACAACAACAACAAAATGTAATGTTGAAAAGTATGTAAGATATAGTAAGTGTAATCCATAGGGACACATCTTCTGGAACAGAGCAGCAGCAGTAATGAATGTCTGTGAGGTTGACCCAATCTTAGCACCTTGGTTATCTCTCAGTACTTGCAAATGGAGATGGGGATCATGGGCACTGCCTCTTCTTCCCCAGCCCTGCCCTGGTAAAGAAAAGGAAGGACTCTTGCTTCAAAATTACTGGAATTTTATTTGCCTCAGGCTTATGAATTGCAACCAAAGACATTGTGCAAAGAAAGCAAAGATAAGTACACTTTGAGGAAAGGTAACAAACCATAAATGGTAGCGCAAAAGAATCTGATGAAAAAAGCCATTCATTATACTATAATCGCAATATTTAACAGCATTTTAAATCCAACTTTTTATAATCAGGGGGGAAAAAAGAGGAGGGGGGGAAAAGTAAAGTTTACAGTAGACATAAATTTCATGTATACAGTTCAAAAAGCATTTCTTTTTCAAGAGATTATGGAGCATAAACTGAAGCAACAAATGGTATAGGGTGGGCGAGAGACTAGCTACTGTACATTTAGAAGCTATTAAACAAAACTGCATATTATGTAGCACAATGTAAAACAGATACAGAACTAATAAAACTTGGAAAATTGCCTGATGAAAAATAAAATCACCAGTTGCTTTTAATGGCTCCTGGTTAGCAATGCTACAAAAGACTTTTATTTTTTTAACGTTCTTGATGCCGGTTGAGAGCATCTAATCAAATATCGAACCCAGGAATTGTCAAATCATTAGTTAGCTAAATCCAACCCATAGAAATATACTATCCACCCATGTTTTTCCCATCAAAAGGGTTTTTTTGTTTTTCCTTTGAGGCCTTTTTGGTCACAGTATGTTACATTTTTTTTACACCACAAAATATGTTTGTCTGATACTAACCCTAAAGTTAATTTATAGATGATATAAATACAGAAGCACCCCGATGCCTATCTGACCAAGTGAATTCACTGGGTGTAAACCGAGAGAAGAAATTTTGTCTTTAAACTGTGTGGATCACTCGTCGTCACTTCCACTTACTTCCGACTGGTCCTAAATGTAAGAGGAACAGGGAAAAAGTTAGAATATTCTCAAAATAATAATGAGCAAAGGAATGGCAATAAAGAAACGAGGTGGAAATCTAAGTGGGCATGCAGGTTCTACTGAACTAAATGCATTTAACTCCTTATGACTACTTCAGAATAATTTTGTTGGGTCCTTACAACCATCTCAAGGCAGAGAGCTAGGGGAGCCGCTGAAGGTTATATGTTGTCCATGCCACTAAGCCAGTGGTTAAACCAAATACAAACCTATGCTCACACAGGAATGTGAAGGAGATTATACCTGGCACTGTCATGAATTACAAAGTTACTGGATGGAGCTGATCTGCAAGAAGGAATCTTGTTTCTGTTAGTGATTCGAGGATTCAAGAAGCACCACAACTGCAGGATTCAGAGCAGGGGCTGCTATTCCACTTCCATCTTTCAGAAAGCCTGTCTTGTAATGCAGGAGTTGGCTGAACATAAAATGGGATCTTTAGTGGAGCACCAAATATTCTTGGCTCCCCTTCATTAACAGCAACAAGACAGTTTGATTTCCCTTCCCCTTATAAAACAGGATGCCAACACAGAATCAATTTTGGAGGAAAAGCTAAGAATAGTTTCAACTGCGACTTGGTGTGTTTTCAGTTCTAGAATTGAACGTAAATCCCAGGCTTGTGCTTGTATTTAATGGTAACCTGATTTCTTAATTACAAAATATGATATACTGTATATATATTGCTGCACCTTGGAATAGATTAATTAATTTAGAAGATGCTTGACTCCAATTGTGAGCGTCATACACTAGTAAGCTGTAATCTAATAAAGCATAGTAAAAATATAACCTCCCGCTCACCTCTATTTCTTACACCAGTGAGTTCTTAATACTTAGCTTTTGTACTGACAGACTGAGATTAGAGAGCTATTTTATGTAAACTCAAGGCTTGGTCATACTCCATAGGATTTTTGAAAAAATACATTGAGATATAATCCCCTGGGTGATTTGCTGTCGGCTTGAGAACTACAATCTATTTTGGTGTTCAGGACAAGCTGCACATCACTTTTGATATTTTGTCCAAATATGCCATAAATGGATAGAAAGCAGACTGCAAACTTTACTGCTTACTTCTTTTTTTAAAATTTCGATACACCCCCCTAATATTAACATGCAAAGATTAGTATGTGTAAGACTGATTGCAGTGAAGAGTAAAGAAGAGAAAGGAAAAGAAAAAGTATCAGTGATTCAGTAAGGCCATACTTACATTTTCATCTTGATCCTCATCAGTATCATCATCACTCACAACCGGTTTGGCTTTGACCCGAACCTGGCGTTTCTTGCCTTTCCCTTTATCTCGGTTTTTGTCCTCTTTCTTGTTTAGCTTAATTTTCACTTTCACAGATTTTGCTGAGAAAGCAGAAAAAATTGTTGAGAACTTGAATGCCAAAATTTATACTCTTAAAACAAACATGTATGTCCCACTCTGTAAGGGATTTCCTCACTATTCCTTTTTCTGACCCATAGATTTACAAAAACCACAGCTAAACCATAAAAATATATTACTTAGCTTGAAATAATCTGAATGGTAAAAATTCTCTTTTTATTGTTATTTTACTGGCCCAAATGGCACTTTCTCTAGTTAGGTCTTGAATGGCAAAGACGGTCAGTTTGCCAAAAAGACAGATTGCTTGTTCTTGCTTTTGAATGAAAGACTTACATTCAGATTCTGACTCGTCTTCCTCATCTTCGTCTTCCTCATTGCTGTCTTCCTCGCTTTCATCTTCTTTGGCAAGCTTCTGCCGTGCACTTTTGAAGACGGACTGAAGAACAATGGAGTCCTCATAGATCTGGAGCATGAAAGCAAATGTGTGTCAGAAATGCAAGCTGCGCTTCATCAAAAATCCACAGCATGGAAGGTTGTTTTCCATTCAAACCCACAGAGAGCATGGCCTCTTCTCTCTCTGAACAAGACATCATTCTTCTTACATGCATTTTATAAGAAATAGCAGTGTTAATTTTTTATGCACTAAATTAAGTGAGCTTCCATATTATAGTGCTTTTCACATTTCCAACCTATTTTTATGCCTAAATTATTTAATCGTGCAGTACTAATGCTATTAAAGTCTTCCATGGAAAGCTCTAATTAAGATTTAGATTATAGTCTAACTATATATTCAACATGAAATAGGCGCAGTCCTTGGGTGCTAATTATGGCAGAAAAATAAAATGGCTCTTATTTGCTGGTAACAGAATCTTTATGATATAAACTGTAAGTATCTAAAGTGCTCAGCCATAGTTGCTGTAAAAGGTTATAAAGTATTGCAGTATCCTAACTCCAGTTCCCCTCCCGAAAATTCTTTTGGCTTATCCAGCAAGACCCTGAATCACTATTTAAGATTTATATCTCTAATGATTTCAACCTAGTTAATGCCAATTGCTGGCTGGGGAATTCTGGGAATTAAAGTCCACAGATCTTAAAATTGCCAACATTGGACACCCCCTAATCTAGGTAATTATCTAGGTAAAAAAGAAAAAAAAATGATTTTTATGCACAGAACCTGTGAGGCTAGAGGGAACAAGTACTCGATCTTACAGTCAATTCCTGATCTCTCAAATTTTTCAAAGGATTTTAAAAAAAATATATTTTACTTTATCAGCTCATATCACTAAATGACTTAAAGATCACCTTTGGAAAAAAAAAACCCTGAGTTCTGCATTAGATTACTTTTTTGTATAACTGTATTTGCAAAAGAAGGTTTGAACATTAATCTTCCTTCTCAAATGAACTGGTACTATTGCGATGATTAATATGACTACAATAGCTCAAAGCCATTTTATAAATATGAGGTCACTTAACTTGCATTTCAGATGATCACAGATAATAGGTGTAAACTATATGGTTAATTGCTTTTAAAAGTAGTTTGGGATTCTTATTACTTTTAGGCTTCCTTGTGCAATAAACATGCAAGCTATAGTACTAAGACTATAGAATATTCATTAGGAATGATATAGTGTCCCCACTGTCAATAGCATTGGACAATAGTCTTCTTTGAAGACTATAAGATTTATAAGATTTCTCTTTGGAATTCAGCATTATTCCTGAAGAATAGCAATGGCAGGTTGAGAACTGGCTATTCTAAATCTCCCTTTTGTAATACATGTTGGGTAGTTGCATATAAAACAGTGTTCCAGGGATTCTCAAACTGGTCACTTCAAGGGATAATTTGCTCTTTTCTGAACATAAATCTTCCAAAAGTGTTGATTGTGTTCCAGTGTTGGAGAACTCTTATAGTTCTCCAATCAGTCCAGGAAGTTGAGTTGCATCTTTAAACAAAACAAAACAAAACAAAACAAAAATCCCCAAACTTTCCACTACAATTTAAAGAATTAAATGAACAAATCATTCCCTTTCACACTGTTTTTCAACTAAACAGAAGCAAGATATAAGATGCTTGATTCTGGGGAAGTCTACATCCTGCTCTAATTTTGCAAAATGAAAGCAGCATGCATATATGCAGTTCCCAGCCCTGCCAGCTTTAGACTCTCCCTTAACCTTCTTTATCCTCTAGGATTGTGTCCTCTTCCTGGCATCATGTGCTCAACTGATGATCTGCAATGCAACTTCACAAGGATTCTGAGGCCTTCTAAAAACCTTGCGAGAAGGCCCTGACCTTCATTCTCCAAATTGTACATGCTATTCTTGCGATGTTTCAGAAGACCTGTGGAAAGTTCCAGTGCCTTACAAGCCTTCCAGAGCATTGTGAGAATGGGGTGTGTTATTTGGACAACTGCAAAAACAGTCTTGGAAAGAAGACTCATAGTCAGCGGCTGCTTCTCATAGGGCCAGACTGGTCCTATCTTGTCAGCAGTGGGAGGAAGATGGCAAAGGTTAACTAGGCATGGCTGTGGCCTGTAAAACACAGGATGGCAAGGACTTTGTGTTGTGGCAGCTGGTTGTGGCAGGGGCCATGGAAGCCAGCTGAGACTGCTGAGGGCTGTTGCTGCCAATGAGGAGTGCCATTGTGCAGAGTGGCCAAAAGGGCAGAGATGGGAAGAGTTGAAGTATCCCTGCAGTTATAAGTGCAGATGAGTTGCCCAGCCTCCAACTTTGATTGGACATTACAATGGTTGTAATTTTGGGGACTGGGCATAAGTACCATTCTTTCAGCACACTGTAACTTTGAACAGCTGCTGAATGAATGGCCGTTAAATGAGGACTACCTCTAAGTTAAAGCAGAAAAAAATAGATCTAAAATTATTTTATATGAAATTATTATGCACAATATAGACCTAAGGTAACATTTTTAGTGCCAGTATTTCCTACTCACATGCCCACTGAATAGCAGAGTATGGCAATCCAGCACCCTTCAAGTGTACTGACTTCAGATCCCACTAAGAATTGGAAGTTGAAATTTCAAATTGAATGGCCCAGGTTGGCGAAAGGAGCCAGATTGTATACTGTATTCAATGCAAACACATACATCAATGACCCTAGAATCAGAAATTATTTGACTCAGACCTGTGATCCTTCTAAGTTGAAGGTCTGGGCATTGTGACACAACAACATGACATCCTTCTCCAAGTCACTGAGACTCCGATATTTATGATTACGAATTCTTTCCTAGAAAGAGTAGATTTTTAAAAAGAAAGGGCAGAGGAAAAGATTGAAAGGGGATAAATCACACATAAAATTAATAAATTAGCAACATAACTCAGAATAAAACAGATGCAGTTTTTCTCTAAATGATTTAAGTACTATACTCTGTCAACTAATTAAATAGCACGAACATAGCAGCTCTTATTCAGAAAAAGCCAAAACTCTCCACACATTGGATGAAGAACAGAGAATAACATTGAATGAAAAGAAGACTCACAAATGATACTTCAAGAAGCTATGTGTCTAATTCAGGTAAAAATTTATACATGCTGGAAAAATAAAACTAGAAACTTTAGTGGCACATACCCCATTGATGTACCTAAAGCTGCTATGTACTACAAGGAATTTAATAACCTTATAAAGAATATTTATGTCGTTACTGTTTACATATACATCACAATGTGAGAAAATACAACATTCAAATTCACTAAAACGAAATGTAGCTATAATGAAATCCATGGGTTAAATGCAATGTTTATTCCATCAGTAAAAGCAGTATCTGAGTTTTGTTGGTTATTTTCCATCTCGCACACTTCAGCAACGCAAATACTAGCTTCATTTCAATTGTTGAAGGCTCTCCAATTATAAATTTCAGGGGCCTCTCAGAAATGGGAGAAAGTGATAAACCATTGAAGATAACACCACTTCTTTTCTGTCAATGTAATTTTCCTGATTGAGTAGAAGCTTCAGAAGAACCACCTGCTTCCCAGAAGGCTTATGCTGGATACTATGTTTAAGATAGGTGAAATATTCTGCGAAGTTGGCTCTTGTTTTATGCTCCATCATTCATCTCAATAAAGGTTTTTAATTTAAAAAAATTGGATTTATTATTAATAATCTGGCCATTTTAAAAAATCAAACTTCTAGAGTTTGTGCAGATGCTGTCAGGAACAAACGATCAGACCCATACATGTAGAATTCAAGTTATCTACTTTATTGTTCTTTGCCTATAGTACAGGAATCTCCTCAGGCTGGCAGCTTTCGCCTGGGAAAGGCTCTAAGGTGTTCGGGAGTGGCATGTCAGACCTAGATCTCTTGTGTCAATCAATCAATCAATCTTTAGTATGGTCAAAGACTAGCAAATAAAAACATTAAAACAATAATAGTAAAAAATAAAACAAACAGAGTAATATATTGTGATCGGTGGTGGATTAACAGTGTGCAGTTAAAATTTGCCTAATTTTACAAACAGCGTATCATTATTTGGCCATATTCAGAGAAACTACTTCATACTGATCCGATAACCTCTTGTATTTACATAATGAGTCTAGGCTGATTCCTCGCTTGAGCCCTACTCCCATCTGGGATGGCTGGTCTCCAATAGATGCCTTCAACAACTTGTTAGGCTATGTTATATTCTCAAGAATTTGTTTTCAATAACTTATTCACAATTTAATATTACATATGAAGATTCATAGCAAGCAATATTTTTATGTTCATTGTATGCAAATATTTACATAATAATTTTAATTAATGACAGAAACACATTCAAATGCAATCAAAATTATACTGACCTTAATTTTTTTGAAGTCCACTGGTTTTCTAATTAACTCATAATATTCTGGGTATTCTTTTCGAGAAGGCAGCTGAATGAAGACTTCACTTAACTGCCGTCCTGAACTGTAGAAAGGAAGGAAGCAAAACATCAATACAGATGAGAAGCAATGCACTGATTCTATTCTCCATGGGCATTCTTAGACCGTGTCCTGATAGGGATGACAGCCAAGACAAATACTGGGAATTTAAACTACCAATTACTAGGGCCCCATTCAAAAGTAATTTTCCCTGGGAAATTGCCAGACTTGGCATTTAATATGCAAAATATCTTTTTAAAAACATTTTCAATGCAATTATCATTAAGAAAAGATCCTGCTGTTTGGCATTTCAGAAGCATGGTAGTTTTTCAGTCATAATATTCATAATTTATCTCATGGATTTGTATCCCAGCAGAAACAAATAATCATTTTTAGCATCTGAAGTTACATCCAAACTATCCAGAAACGGCAGGTTTTAATGAATTTCAATGCAAGTGCAGCACAGCTGTACATCTTTATTATTTTGGCAACAGGATGTAACTGCAGACTACAGTGCCAGTCTGGGATATTTTATCTGCAATTCCTTTGCTTATTTACATAACACACTTTGCCAATAAGCCAGATCTGTGCATGAAACAATCGTAGTCTAACAATTCCTAATGAAGTCAATTTGGGACAATCTTCATTCAGTCAAATTTTAGGTGTTTTCTATTGTGGTGTTACTTTGTGAGCTCTTTATGCTTAAAAAAAGGATGGTTCTTATGTTTTAATGTTCAAGAAATATATTATCAATGCAATTCTTTTGTAAGGAGGAACCTGAATTTGCCAAAGGCTAGCTTTGTTTAATAATGTTTTCAAAAGCACTGAACAAAGGTATTTTGCGAAAGATACAGTAGTGCCTTCCTTAATGTATGTTCTTACACCAGCATCAGAATATTGAATTATGTCCTTAAGGGAGAAACTCCCCCCCCCCACCCACATCCATTGATTTCTGTGCTTCACAAAAAAGATGTTATATCTGTCTTTGTGTGTAAATGTATATAAAGGTTGAAAAAATAAATCTATTAAGCATTCTTCTAAGAAGAAAAATGTAATGGTTGCAATCAAGGATATGCTAATCAAATTACGATTAATATGCAGGCTAATCCTATTTTAATATGTACATTTCTGTTTCAAATAACATCTTTTAGATACACACATGCACACATGAAAGAGGCAGAGAGATCTACCAAACATAAAAAATCACGTTCACTATTTCTCTTTTGGTTGCCTAGCAACTACCAGATTATATGCTGAAAAGCAATAGGACCTGCATAAATTAATGGAATGTACAGAAATATGAGTGGCATTTCAGTGTTATAATTGCAGTGGGTCCCACTATTTTTCCACACAAACAAATAGAGACTGTGACTTATATATTTATGTGTATTTATATATACGATACAAATGTCTTGCCATTCCGGAAGGCAACTCTCTTATTTCAAAAACACCCTATGGGATAAACAGGAATAAATTTGAAGTTAAAATGTAGACGCCTCTCACAACTGTGCACTCAAAGGGCCTATCAGATTATTTTTACTGAAAACTCTGGTAGAATTCCATTATTAATAATTCAGTATCAATTCAAAATTTAAAAGGAAACAAATACAAATAAATATGAAGTGTTTATGGCTTTGTAGCGATTAGTCCCATAGCACTAGCTAGATACAGGTAGTCCCCAATTTACAACAGTTCATTTAGTGACCATTAGAAGTTACAATGACACTCAAAAAAGTGACATGACATTTTTCACACTTATGACTGTTGCAGCATCCCTGTGGTCACATGATCAAAATTCAGACGCTTGGCAATTTTATGACAGTTGCTGTGTCCCTACCTCATGTGATCCCCTTTTGTGACCTTCTGACAAGCAAAATCAATGGGGAAACAGATTGACTTAACAGCTATTTTACTAACTGAACAACTGCAGTGATTCACTTAACAAGAAAGATTGCAAAATTGGGAAAAACTCAACAAATGTCTCACTTAGCAACAGAACTTTTGAGCTCAGTTGTGGTTGTTAAGTCAAGGACTACTTGTACCTCATCAAAGAGCGATTTTCAGGTTACGCTACACTGATATTGAATGAAATGTTCAATATTGTTAATTATGATCAATGCATCATTAACTTTCTAGGTTGCTACAGAACTGGCAATAAGCAAGTGTAGAAGCAAAATTCTGAAGCAAAGTATGAATCTAAAATGCACATTTCTTATTTCCTAAGTTCAACAAAGGAACGGCTTTAATAAGTGGCATCTCCGCCTGAGATTTGAGGATTCCCAAAACTATCTTTCTCCATTTTCTTAATACATGCTGAGATGTGGAATAACTGTCCACATAGTTATCCTTAGTCTGGAATTAAATGAATTCCTAAGCAAAATCAATCAACCTGTGTCAACAATTCGGAAGCATGGGATACCTAAACACAGAGAATACACCAAGAATAATACTTAACTACAAAACAAACACCAACACTTAGGAACCACCTGATTCTGCAATCTCTAGAAAAAGTAGAGAGAGAAAAATGGAAATATTTTTTACTGTTATGAACAAACCCACATGGATCCAAGCTGTTAAGATAGGAACATTATTTTACTAAGTAACAACTTACTGTATGATCTGTCCTCATTAATGTAATTATGGTATTACAAAATTATTTTCCTCATGAGACAGTTCTAGCATAGATGAGCAATCATAAAAAAATCAAATTCTACACTATATGCATTTGATAATTTTGGCTTCGGACTGTACTAACACAGGATTCATATTCTTGTAACCACAATTTGAGAGGCAAAGTCAGACAGAGATCTGAATTTTACATTCGATGGATAACAGAACAAGGATCTTTTACATCTGAGTCTTATTCCTAGGAAAGGCATGCTTAACAAAGCATTAAATGCAGTGAAGTGTGAGGTGCAATCAGGCACCATTAATGCCAATGGACATCCTATAATAAAAAGGAATGCTTTGATGTATGAAATGTGACCTACTCACTGTGCTAAGTGGAATGAGAAAAAAGAAATGGGAAACGGGTCAATCCCTATCTTGATGAAGTTGCTTAAGCCTGAAATTTAGTTTACAATGTTCAAAGGTTAGAGAGCATTAGCTACCAAGTATTTTTGTTCAAAACGTTGCAACATTTGTCCTCTTTAAAGCACTTGTGAAAATTTATTTATGTATAAGTATCATATCCTCAGACATTAATGTTCACTGGGTAACTTTGGGCTAGTCAATCCACTTCCACCCAACCTCAGATTGCTGTTGTGGTAATAAAAATGGAAATAGCAATAGCCTTCTAAAATAGGTGGAGATCCACAAGGGAATGAGACAACTTGCCTCAACCCTTCTCCACAGCCACAATCAACTCACCACAGCTAACTCTCCATGGCCAACTCACCACAGGACAACTTGCTATGGCCAAGGTACCACAGGACAACTCGGTGCAGGACAATTCAACAATTCAATTTAATTATTTAAAATAATTTTAAAAATATTTTAATTTTTGTCATTCACATTTTATTTCGTCCCTCCTTTGGCATCCTTTCTTTAATGGTTCTATTTGACTATTTCTTCGATATTAGTGTAACTTGTCCTGTGGCAAGTTGGCAGTGGCGAGATGTCTGCGGCGAGATAACTGTGGGGAGTTGTCGAAGAACCTATGTACTATGTCTGAGCAACTGCTTGAAAGTGACAGTTTATGGAACTTGCAAGGCTGAATAGGTTTTTCTATTTTTTATTTTCTATTCTATTTTTTTTATTATTATTTCTATCTCAACCTTTATACTTTAATTTTGTGTCCATTATATCTGAAAATTACTGGGAACTATGACAATATCTAAGTTGTCCCAATATAATACTGCTTAAATAATGTACTTTCTAGATTTGAGAAGTATTGGCTGGCAGGTAGGCAATTTTACAAAGATCCTAAACCACAACAAGATCATTTCTTTTTGAGAATTTGGGATGTGTGCACATATTCCTCTGCAAAGGAAGCTTAAGAAGAAAACCAGTTATGTGGCTGTATTGCCTGAAAAACTCTCTTTCTCCATGTCTATGGAGATTCTCAGTCATCCAGATCATGGTTGTCCCAAAGGTGCTTCTTCAAAAGGCAACTGGACCTTGTTTTTCCTTGAAGACGTTTCGCTTCTCATCCAAGAAGTCAATCAGAACTGAAGAAACTTCTTGGATGAAAAGTGAAATGCCTTTTGAAAAAGCACCTTTGGGTCTCTTTCCCCCCTTCTCTCTTTGTTTAATATAGTTTTATATCATTCAATATATCTTTTCATACCATTCTAGTAAACCATCCTTAGTTGCACCACATCAGTAAAGTGATTCATTCATTGCCTTTTCCTATTTTAGCTTCTCACCACTTTCTTTTCAAGGAGCTCATAAAAGTCCATCCACCCACCTCTTTCTTAGACTTCTCCTTCCTCTTGACCTACTCACTCTTTGTTTATTTGGTTTGCGATGTCATCCTTTTGTGGTATATTATCAAATCAATAAACGTCTTTTGTACTGGTTGTTCAGTTTTATACTTAATCCACATTCATTCAGCCCCCATCGTTCTTTATCCTATTTCTTCTCCCTTTACCACATAGAATTCTGAAGTACTCCATTGCAATTGTATTCATATTTATATTTCTCACAATACACACAACTCTCACTTCTAGAAACACTCTCATAATGAGCAAATGAGCAGAAACAGGGTGGCATGCCTGTTTATTTTATCCTCTTGTAACAATTCCTTACTGGAAATCACACACATATTTTTATTAGTGTTTATATTTCTTAACATCTCCATTAATTCGCCCTTCTTTAATAAAAATTCTACAAAGGGACACACATTCAACAACTTGCTCTTTGTTGCCATTTATGTATAACTTGTAATCGATCACTATATTTTTCCTATCAAACAGTATTATCTTGGTCTTTCATGTAAGATACATGATTGTCATTGAATCATACAAGCTAATCTAACATTTTATGCACATTATTTGGATTCTCAGACAAAAATACATCATAGGTATATAATGTACAGATACCGCA